TGGGCGGTCCCATATCCCTCACTGGATCCCTCCGCTAGCTCCCACCCGAGCGACTAGGAAAACCTGTATGCTTTGACTGCTTGGTTTGCGGCTGCCCGAGAAGACATCAAAATACCAGTGTGGCAAGCTTATCTTTTTAGCCTTTTGACCCACAAGGATCCATGATCCTGGAGCTGTCTGCCTCCCCAAGCCATGCAGAATAGCAAACATTCATGGGGAAAACATGAAATGGCCCCTAGGATTTTGCAGCTGGTAATTCCCTAAGGCAGATACAACAAACACTGCCTTTCAGAGATGATTCCTGGGCACATTGCTGAGGCCTGGTCTCCATGGAAAGGCTTGTTCAGGGACAACCAATCACTCTTCACCTCCCCCCCTCCAATGAAATCATGTCTCAGGGTGGGGCATGCAGACAACAATTCCATGGCCAAGAGTCCTCCATAGTAAAAGGGAAGAGACAGCTGGGCCAAACTGGGCCCTGAGGTCAGTGAGCTACATGAGAACAGAACTAGCGCTCCCCATAATGGACCAGGGCATGGAAGGGGCAGACTATTAAGTGGGCATTGCTGGGGGCCAGATCAACGGCAGAAACGTGAAAGCAGCAGCCACAAGGATTCCCATCAGAGCGGGCCCAGGTTAGCACTTGCACTCAGAAAAGGTCTCCATTGACGTAGCGGGATGTGGACACTCTCGTCAGGTTGCTATCAGTTCAATTTGCTCAGGCCATGGTAACTGGGACGCCACGCCCCGCTGGGCATGTGATCACAAGGTCCCTCTAACTAAAGACAATGCCACCACAGCTGGGCTGACTACCATGACCCTGAATACCAAGCGGCGCAACCATGCCTTAAAAACCAAGTGGCTTTCAAGCCACCCGTCTTGGGAGGCAGATTGGGAATAATGACCTAATTGTGGTAGACACTTATTCAAGGCATGGAATTGCAATTCAACCACTTCCGCCTTTGTCAAACACATTCCTTTCTTTTATGAAGGAGCAAACACTATCCTTGGACACAGGAAGAGGGTGCAAGGTTGGGCAAGGTCTCACCACATGACTTGTACATACCACCTCCCATATCATCCACAAGCTATGAGGTCAACAGTGGAATGGACTTCCTGAAGTACACTTTTGATTACTCAGCCCCATACTTTAGAAATACATTGGCCATCGTGCCTTAGCAATGCCCACCCCAAATCATTACCACCTCTCCAAGGGTAGGGTCACACCTGACACTAAAGGCATTTTTGAGTAGTTGCCCCAGAAATAAAGAGCTTGCATACAGAGGTGGCTCTCTTCCTAGACAAAACACCAATAAAGACTAACTCCTTTTTTCATTTTAATAGTTCCCATTTTGGGGGCAGTGGATTTGGTGATGCCCTAGGGTTGAAGCATTTACCAACAAGTAATACCACTCAATTTAAAAAGCTCAATTCCACCAGGATAGTTTGGACAAATCCAGCCCCAGCCAGGGTTGGCACACCAAGGAGTGCTGTAAACCTGGATTATGATGGTAAGTGAAAATATTATACAACCAATAACTTGAGGGATTAAGTGGGAGAAAGGAGATATACTAGTCCAGCTGATTCTTCTGCCAATTCAAAGGATCACTGATGGGGTCCCCTACAAGGGACCCCAGAGGCTTAGTTTAAACCTTTCATTTTACAGACGAGGAAACTGAGGCCCAGTGAGGTTGTGACTTGGCAAGGTCAGACAAAATAGCAAGTCATAGAACCAGAATTTAAACCCAATTTCTCTAACTTCGAGCCCAGTACTCTTTTCACTATCTCCTTAAGTAAGTTAAGGATAAGCTATGCCCAAAGCAATAACTTGGGGCAAGGGACAAAGGATTAGGAAGTACTGGATGGACTTTGGAAAAAGGTAATTGCAGGAGGTCTAGGCAACACAGAACAGATGGCAGAAACGGGAAGACAAGGCCAATGTCTAAGAGATAAACGTCAGCAAGGGAACATATGAGCCCTTAGCAAATATGAGTTTTTATCTTCACCACACATTACTATGCCAGTCTGATTATAGACTCATTTAGACAACATAAGAATACAGTGGCAGCTGTGGAGGACCATGGGACTATTTAAGAGCAGGCATCCCCCTGAAAAAGAATGGCTTGCTAAAGATGGCACGAACAGCTGTGGCACAACTTGGGCAGCCAGAATGCTGGCATGAATGGAATACTCATTCTTCCAAACCATAATACACTAGTATACGGCTTGATCATAAATGACATGGCCCTGTACGACAAAAAGGAACTTTACCCAGTGTTAACTACACATCCACTCAGAAAGCATTCTTTCGATGGGAGGGACAAAGGACAGCCTGGCAGGTTCCCTTTGCTATGGCTGATGAATACATGTTACCATGGCTTCTAAAGCGGGGGAGTGAGGAGGGAGTGTTGGACCCCACAGATCTAGTAGCATCAGAGTTGGGGAAGTGGGGTGTAGTGAGTTGCCATCTGAGCAATGACCCAGCTCTTGATACATTCCTCTCCAACCTGCACTTTGGGGTCTCGTTTACTATGCTCCAGAAACTCCATCCTGGAAGCTCAGTCCATTCACACTTTGGAAGTATCCTCCTCTTCTGATTGGACGGCTCCTTCCAGAACTTCCATTTAAGGAGGGTGCCCTCCTGTCCAAGGTGCACTTCAGACTTGTTGTTCCCTCTCCCCACGAACTTCCTCTCATGTATTGTCTTCCCCCAAAAGTAAGCTCTTTGGGGGCAGAGTGTGTCTGTATTTGTACTCTCATCATTTAGAACAATAGCAATTATTGTTAGTTGACTTGTTGATAAACCATTGAAGCTCTGGAATGCTCCACTGGAAGTCTGGTTTCTGCCATGCAGCACGCCATATAAACATCTGGATTGGAGGGGGACATGCACAGGGGGACAACTGTACCCAAGAACATAATGAGAAAGACCTTGGGCATAGGTTCATAGCACATACTCTCTATTCCACCAAAAGGAAGAAATGGGGCAACCCCAGATGTAAAAGGCACGATTGTCAACCCAGCCCCTCACATTATTCAATAGCTTTGGGATCTGGAAGAACACTACATTCTGCCAGGTGGTTAGGGTATTATTCAGACAGGTAAGGGTGACTGAATCTAGACAAAGACCCAGCATGAAAACCCCTGGACATGGATTTCCCTACCTCCTGTCCTATATTGCTATCCCACATCAGACCAAGGAAAAGAGGGTCACATATGTACAAAAATATTTACAGTAGCTCTTTTTGTGGTGGCAAAGGAATGGAAATTGAAGGGATGCCCATCAATCGGAGAATGGCTGAACAAGTTGTGGTATATGAACGTAATGGAATACTATTGTGCTATAAGAAATGATGAGCAAGCAGACTTCAGAAAAACCAGTAAAGACTTGTATGGACTGATGCCGAGTGAAGTAAGCAGAACCAAGAACGTTGTACAGTAACAGCTACATTGTGCTATGACTAACTTTGATAGATTTAGCTCTTCTCAGCAATGCGGGGATCTAAGGTATCTCCAAAAGTCTCATGACGGAAAATGCTATCCACATCCAGAGAAAGAACTATGGAGTTTGAATGCAGATTGAAGCATACTATTTGCTTTTTTCTCCCCCTTCTGTTTTTTGTTTCTTCTTTCTTGTGGTTCCTCCTATTGATTCTAATTCTTCTTTACAATATGACTAATGTGAAAATATGTTTAACAGGAATGTATATGTAGAATCTATATCATATTGCATACTGTCTTGAGGAGGGAGGTGAGGATGGAGGGGGAGAAAATTTAAAACTCAAAAGTTTATGGAAGTGATTGTTGAAAACTAAAAATAATTAAAAAAAAAAAGAAAAAGAGGGTCAGAGTGGACACACCAGCCTGTTTTCACTTCATTTGGAACCTTCTACTCCTACACCAAGACCAAAAGTATAAGCTGGATCCTATTCCTCAGCTTTCTTGACTTTTGGGTCCCAGAGTGAGATGCTTGTTTCATCCAAGAAGGTGAGGATACTCTTTGCGTCTTGGTTTTTCCTTTCTTCCACAAGTCTCCAAGTGCACCAGAACTTTCAGTCAACCTAAGGCAGCAACTCCCCCTAGCTGACTAGGAGGTCAAGTACTAACTACCTGTGAAACTATTCAAGATACGTAACACCGATTAAAGTTACAAGTTGTTTTTCATGGGAAGGAGAAAAGTGGAGGCAAAGAGAGAGAGAGCGACCCTATCTTCTCCCTTACTTGAGTAACTCCATCTTAGAACCTGGCCTCTATTTCAGTTAAAAGAGTCGTGTTTTCCTTTGTCTCAATTCCCTTAAGCCCACCTTACTTCTGTCCTTACTTTTTGATTGATTGAACAGATAGTCCTAGTTCTGGTCAATAATGAGAAGTTCTATATGGAAATTGAAATGCAAATCAGTTCATCTCCAAAGCTAATAAAACAGAAGCCAGCCATTGCTCCTAAAGGACATACTAGATTTCTTCAATATCCAAGAAGGAAATAGTCTTCCTGTGGTTTCTGTCTTCTGTGGTCCTTAAAGTTCTATTGGACTGCTTTTGAACCAAATATGATTCTTTTACCATGACAGGTTCTAGTCTCAATTTAGTCACTAACTGCCTGAAATGACTTTAGGCAATTTGCATATCCCTCCAGGGCCCCAGTTTCCTCAGTTGCAAAATGAGGCTGGTCACCTATACCCATCAAATTAGTAAAGAGAAAGGGTGTAAAATGGAAAAATTCAAAATTCAGTGGCATTTTCCAATCAGTATGATCAATTAATGGGGACCAGGAAAACAGGCACACAAATTCACTGCTGTTAGGGCTATGAACCATTTTGGGAAACCAATACAGAATTATCCAATAGAAGCTATAAAAACATTCATACATTTTGACCCAGAAAAAGGGCTTATAGCCAAAAGAAATTTGTGACAGGAAAAAAAAAAAAGATCTTTCTTGACAAAAAATATCCCAAGCAAACTGAAAACAAACTATACCAACAGCTGAAGAATGGCTGAATAAATTATGCTAGACAAATGTAATGGAATGTGATGCTCTAAGCAATGACAAATATGAAGGATCCCAAACAATGCAGGAAGACACATGCAGTGGAGAAAGTAGGGCTAAAAGAACACACCGATTACAAATATGTAATTAAAGATGACAACAGCAACAAAATTCATGTTAAATACAAAAGACAATATTGATACAACCTTGTTAAGATTAATAGTTTCTTTTAACAACTGGTAATTAACATTGAATATCGTTACATGTGCAATCATTTGCAATCACTTTTTTTGCATTGTTTTGTTCAGTAGTTTCTATTTCTTTTTAATCTCTCATTTTTGTTTGTATATTTGAATACTCATGTTGTCAGAAATTGAAGCAACATTGATCAACCAAAAAAAAAATCTGAAAATGCCAACCAAGAAACAAATGAGAAATTGGACTAGATAAGCTTTAAGGTCCCTTCCATGAGGTATTGTGGCATTATGGGAAGAGGGGTCTTGGTTCAAGAGATCCAGTTCAAATCCTAATCCTCAATTGCTATATCGTATTATATTTGGCAAATCACTTCAACTTGGCTTGTTTCCTCATCTAGAAAATGGTGATCTATTTACTCTCAGTACTACTTAATCCATGATACTATGAAATGCTTCATTATTGTTCAACATCGTTAAGAATACAAGCTACATTATTCCAGCTCTAAAATTCTATGACTTTGTTATTTTCAACAATTCTCCTGGAAGACTAGTCCTAGTCCTTGTTTAATTTTTTTTGGGGGGGAGGAGGGTGATAGTCCTGTATTCATCCATGAATCAGATTTAGATAAATAAAATCCTTTTCCAAAGCTACTTCCCGGGGAAGAAGGGGACAAAACTCTGGGCCAGAAAGCGCTAGTTCAGCCGTCAACTGTGCCACTACAAAGACAGAGAAATGAAAATTTACAAACTTTTCTGTTAATTCTGTCACCCAAATCATTACCATGTCAAGTAAATGTCAAATTGGGCCCTCAGCTCAGTGGAATAGCCCTCCCACTCCCTCTTGTACCATCCCACGGAAGGGTAAGGGAAATCTCAGCAAAGACGAATCTCCGCACTCCTGCTAACTACCTTTCTTGGCCTCATCAAGGGAGCTCCTTAGCTCTGGACTCCTTCAAAGATGAGCCAGGGGGCTCAGGACTAAGAACCTGGGGCACCAAGCCCTTGACACAGAAGCACCTATACACCACACAGAAACCATCTAACCCAGGAAGTAGGGAACAAACTCAGAGAAGAACCAGAACAGAGAGCCTGACTCCATTTTCCTTGAGTGCAGGGAGTGGTGATGGTGGGTGGGCAATGGAGCTCACAGCAATTGAGGTTGCTTATCTCATTAAATCTTCAGGATCTCTGAGATGTAACTAATCCAATTTTCTATTCGACTGCTACCATGATCCCCCAACTCCACCAACACTGTTCCCTACTGCATACCAACATGGTACCTCATATCCAGAAGACTGTGACAATATCCCATTTGGTCATAACTCTAGTTGAGCACACGGCAGTCCTCGGTAAAGACCTGTTCCTGCCATATTTCTGGTCTAGGCCATGCTCTCCTCCATAGTCCCAGAATCATTCTCCAGTTGCTTCCTCCACATACACTGTAAGCTCAAGCAGAGCAGTAGCAATGTCTTCTTTGAATACTCTCTAAAATTCAAGGCGTGGTCAGTGCTGGTTTGCAGAGGGATGAACTGACTAAAAACTTATTCAACTGACTTAGAAAAAGAAAGCTTTTCCCATTCATTAATTGAAATTATTCTGAATCACTAATAAGTTATCTGACTGATCCACAACTCCTACCATACATAGGTAAGTAGCAATAATAATAGCAGCTCATATCTCAATAGTGCATAACATAGATTACCTAATGTGATCTTTACCATAGCCCTATGAAGTAGGTGCTGTCCTTAGACTTATTTTTATCATGTTACTTTCTTATTTATGATGACACTCATTTTAAGATAAGGAAATCAAGGCTCAAACAAGTTGAGTGACTTGACAGGGTCAAAAGAGCTAGTGTGAATGGCAGGATTTAAATCCAGGTCTTCCCAACTCTTAAGTCCAGGGTTCTATCTACTATGCAATTCTGCCTCTCTCTAAATTTTCACAGTACATATGGAGGACACAGTAACCTTCCTAAGGGCCATAGGGCATGTAGTTGACAACAAGTGGAAAGGAACATTAATGTCAGCTAGAAAAGTAATGGGCCCAAGGTGGGGGTGTAAAGGTACCTCCAAATGGGTGCCCCGATGTTTTGGCTGGATATCAGCCAACCAGGCTGGTCCAACTTCTTTCTACACAAGCAACATCAAATATTAGGGAGGTAGGGAATTGAGGGATGAGAAAATTAACAAGTCAAAATATACATCTGTTTCCTTCCATTCCCAGGCCTCCTGACCTTTGTCTGACACAAGTCACTCAGTAGCTGTGGTGAAATGCGGTACCAAAAAGTAAGGAGGTAAGAGGCTTGGGAGAGGAGAAGAGAAAGCAGAAGGCATAGAGGAGAAATCCCTGAAGACAGCAGCAGCTATTTGGTGCCTGAGTTTTGGCTAAAATTTGATCTTTAAAGCAATCACTGAGCAGGAGTTGGTGATGGGGGCCATTGGAGAGACTTGGGAGAAAGGGATAGGAAGCTGCAGTGGTGTGAAAGAATACTACAGAATGGGTGATGTTTTAGCCCCTTTGATCTGGATGGCAAAGACATGATGGACTTAATGGCAGAAATAATGAGAGGAGAAAGTGTTGCCATGAGGATGAGAGAGGGAGGAAAGAAGCTATAGTCTTTTTCTTACCAGGACTCATGGAGAACCATACCTGTCCGTCCTTTTTTCCTCTTTCAAAATCAAAAGACAGAGGAAAAGAATGAGGCCCACAGTGCTCAATTCTCCAGTTAACACAACCCAAAACGAGAATAAGGTAAGAAGAAAAGTAAATGTATGTTGACCCTGGGTAGGAAGTCAAGTTTGGATGCTCCATATTCCATTATGATTGACAGACTGAAGATACATCTTACCCCTCAGTCTCTCTACAAAATCTTTTGCACTTAATAACTGCTCAGAGTGAGGAAGGCTTTAGAAAAACATCTCCACCCAATCCTTAGGCTGCAGGGCCACCACCAAGTAATTCACACTCCCTAGAAAGGGGGTGGGGATCGGAGGAGAGGAGAGTTCCTGTAAACATTTATTTTCCCCACTGGTAGAAAAGCAAAGGGAAGTCTAGGGTGGGAGAGGGATAAGCAGTGGGAGGAAGGGGCCACTTTGAAGGTTTTTTCAGATTTGCTACATAATGTATTGCATCCTCCCCTTCTGTGAGGCCAAGGTTAAGTTACAGAGAGCATTCTGAGGGCCCAGATGAGGAGCCAAGGGGACAGTTAAGGCAAATGAGTTACAGAGATGTGGTGAAAGTGACTGGTAGAATTAAGAGGCTTCTGTCAGGACAGGATGAAAAAACATTTTGATCCCTAAGATTGGGGGGGAAGGGTAGGAATAGGGGGGAGGCAGTGAGGATATGATACCTTTGGGACAACCATGCTCATGAGCCAAAGAAGTGGGCATAGGTGACACAGAAGGGGAAACCAAGACAGGAATGTGGAAAGTACTGGCCCATGAGAGGATGCTTGTGTGCTCCCTCCCTGGGTCTCTTTGGAAGAATCCTGGGTAGACTGGGGGCCTTGTAGCATCTGCATGGCTCCCACCAAAACAAGCCCAGCTCAAGCATCCACTCCAAAGTATAATCGGAGTTGTTCCAAAAAGATGAAGGTGAGGACGGTGTGGGGGACTAGACGAATTCCAGCAGGTAAAAAGCCCTGAAGAGAGATAAGACAAGATAAAATTAAAGGGTGAGGTATTTTGGGAGGGAAAGGGAGGAGCAGAAGGGAGGGAAGGATGCTGAACCATGCAGAAAATTCCAGGGTTGGGGCCCAAACATCCAAACACCGTGTCCACAACTGGAGCCATAACCCACCCTCCTCAAATCTTCCTGCCCATTGGTACCTTGTAAAAGGCCAGTGGTCCAAGTTTCGCCGTCTCCAAAGCACAGTGAATGACACCCTGAAACAGATAAATACACCAATGCCTCTGGAGGTATAATGGTTCCATCACACCGTCTACAATAACACACTTCATGTTCCCAGATCTCCAAACTAGCTACCCCAAGAACACCTGATTTGGAGTCAGAATTAGGTTTACTTGACTGTGTGGTCTTGGGCCAGACACTTATTTTTCCTTAGGACTCAATCTCCTCCTCTGTCAAAGGAGGTGGGTTAGATTAAATGATCTTTCAGGTCCCTTTCAATTCTGATGTTCAAAGAGGCTGGCTCAGACACACCAGGAACTTAGCTCTCTGTAGCAGGTAAACTGGGCTTCCGAGAAGGTAATCGAGGGAATAGTTGGGAGCCATCTTGAAAGTTGGACACCTCAAGGACAAAGAAAAGATGGGCAGCAGGACGGCCCATATGCCAGGGTGGAAATAATAGATGTTGACATAGTTACCTTATATTCCCCCTTGGAGTTCATCAGACGAGTCTTAAGCACATCCAGGGGTTGGCACAGAAAGGTGGCACACCCACCCTATGAAGAAGCAAAGTTATGGGTTGCAAGAGAACCTTTCTTTCGTGAGTCTTTTCTTTCTGAGTCTCTCAGGGGTCTTGACTGGTAGACAGCTCTAGTAGATAGTCTGGTATGAGTAAAAGCATTGCCTGACTGCCCTGGGATTAACCAACTGAAGAGTCACTAAAGCTTCTCGCCCTTCAGCTGTCTTAGGCCATGAAAGAAATTAACCAGACCCCCATCAAGGCTGCCTGCCATCTACTCTCACTCTCCTCTTCATCCCTCTCCCCACCCAAAGGCTCTTCCAATGGCCACTACGCAGTGCCTCAGCCACTCCCAAGTGTTTTTAAAAATCACAGCATGTTTTTAGTGGCTAATAGAATGCCTCTCTTCTGTGGGTCACTCCACAGCAGAACAGCATCCATGAACTTCAGGGGGCCCAGATACAAACTAGAATGATTGACTGAAAGGTCATGGGGAACTTACAGCGATAAAACTGGACAGGAAGTGTGCAAAGATGTTATCTGAGATCATTTCTGTGCTGAGGACCAGCTGCTTGACTTGGTCATAGCACGACAGCTGCAAGGAGTGAGGGAGAAGATGTGTTAGTGGCTTCAAACCAGCCCAGAGGAAGCATTCTCGCAGGACCAGAATTAAAAGGGGATGCGCTGCCCCCCAAAGAAGCCTTCGGGGAAGTAGGAAATGATGCAGTGAAGTCTCTCTAGCCCATAACCCATTCTTCCTGCATCAGACAGTTTATGCAATTCAGTGAACACTGATTAAGTATCTGTGAAAGGCATTGGGAGCGAGGGGGGGGGATCAATGATACAAAGATAAATAGACACGATCCCTGCCTCTGAGGAGCTTATGATCTAGGATAGGGACAGGGCTGTAGGGGCCTCAGGTGCAAACTGGCATGACAGCCTGAAGCTCATGGCTGTGTGAGGGGAGGGATACGCCAAGGCCATAAATATCACGTGGAGGGGAGCATAGCATCAGCCTGAGAGTCAGGAAAACCTGGGTTCAAGTTTTATCTCTGACACATATTGCCTGTGTGACCATAAGCAATTCACTTAACATCTCAGTACCCCCGGCAAACAATCTTAAGGACTGACAAGATGCCAATCTTCATCGGTGAAGGGAGTTTCCACACAGATGAAGTCATAGATCTAGCTAAATTAGGGGAAGAAAAGGGGAGGAAAGGCAGGGAAGAAAAGATATAACACATTATGAAAGACCAGGGTCTCTCTTCAACCGAGCGAGTATCAGAATCCCAGCTCTCTCATTTACTTGAACACACAGTATTGGACTAAACACTTCTTTTCTCTTGACCTCAGTTTCTTCCTCTAACTGATTCTTAAAGGTTGGCAAGGATTTCAGAAAGCCAAGGCTGGGATCAGGATGGGGGTGGAAAGAACGAATTCCAGGTGGGGGTGGGAGGACTGTGAGAACAAAAGCATAGGTCGAGATCAGAGAACAGCAGGGGTGGAACAGAGTTTTTGGAACGAAAACAACCAGCAGCCTTGTCTCCACCGTCAGGGACCTTGGGGCTCAGGGCTGCTTGCCACAGCTGAATTTTGCACCCCGTTTCTCTAGCCAAAGAAGAGCAAGAAAGCTAGCATCCCTAGCTCACCCTGCTTTGTGCTATCGGCCAATGGCTCCACGTAGAAGGTATGCAGCTGAGAGGCCACCTACCTGCCCCACGGTGACAAGAGCCCCTCGGGATGATGCCATCGTGGCTCCAGAAAACAATTTCTTTATGCCTTCTGCAACAGGGGGGAAAAGACCAGATTAATGGTTTCCCTTTAGCTCTCTTTCCTAGTGGCAACAGAATAGTTTCAATTCTCACTTTAGCCCTTATTCCCCAGCAATACATCATTCTAGTTGCCTGATCTCTGATTCTGCCGACCCCTGCGGGAACTGAAGTCATTCATTCAGTATACATGCTCGGAGTTTCCTCTAAGCCCACTGGTACTGGAACCTGCCTGGTGTACATTTGACCATTCCACTAAAACACTGCCTATGTGCCTACCATGTGCACAGTAGGTATTTAGCTAGGTAAATCGAACACAAACAAAAATGAAGGTGTCTTTCTAGGACCTTGCAATCATATAATTAAGAGGCACCTAGGTAGCAGAATAGACAGAATGCTGGACCTGGAGTGAGGAAGACCTAAGTTCAAATCCTGCCTCAGATACTTACTAGCTGTGTGACCCTGGGCAAAAGTCACCTAACTTCTCTCTGCCTCAGTTTCCTCATCTATAAAACGGTGATAATAATAGCACCTACCTCACTTGTGGTAAGGATTGAATGAGACAACATTTATAATAAGCTTTGCAAATGTTAAAACACTATACAAATGCTAGGTATTATTATTAATCTAATTAATCTAATAGAGATAGGGAATAATACAATATGGATACAAATAAACATGTTTAAAGTACAGCATGATAGAAACAAAGGAGTGATCTAGGCAAAGTGGTTTAAAAATTAATTATGAAGGAGACTGCCTTCAATTGGAGGGGAAGACTATGGAGAAAAGAGAGGGAGTGAGGGAGGGAGGGAAGGAAGGAAGGGAAAGAAAGACAGAGGGAAAAGAGGGAAGGAAAAGAAGGAAAGACAGAAGGGAGGAAAGGAGGGGAGAAGGGAGGGGGGAAGGGAAGAATTTCAGGAAGCAGTGATGTGGGAGAAGAATATTCCAGGCATGATAGAAGGCTGTGTGAATTTGTGGGTGTAAGGGAGTGCAGGACAAGACCAGGGAACTGCACAGGAAGCTGGGGAACCCTATGAAATAAATGGCTCTGGAGTCGAAGGACCTGACACAACTGGGCCGGGGGGACCTTGGGCAAATCATTTAACACTGGTTCTTTTTCTAAAAAAGGTTTCTCTCAGGTTCCTTTTCTTAAAAAGACAAGGGGACTGGAGACCATGGCCTCTCTTTAGAACCACGATTCTATGAACCTATGAAAGGTAGGTTGGAGCCAAACTGTGGAGGGACTTGAATGCCAGGCTAGAGTTAATCCTACAGAAACCATCCTAAGGCAATAGATTTGACAACTCCCCTCCATTTAGGCCCAGCGACACAGGATGTTCAGTGCTGAAAGGGTCCTAAAGAGTAGGGCTGCCAACGACTGACCCAGAACCATGCCACCCACTCTGGAATGGATCTTACCTTCACGGGCTACACGTATAATGCCATCTACAGCGTGGGAGTAGCTATGGGACACAAGACAAGCTCAAGTTAAGCTCCCACTTAAAGGGAATTCCCAGATACTCCCTCCACCCCCAATGATATTCCTTCCAGACATCTGCTGATTTCCTTACAGCAATCTTGAACAATCCTTGACTCCTCAGGTGTCCAGACCTCCCCACAGCAGCTTTGGGTAAGGGTCTTTGCGGCACTCCCCTTCCTTCTGTCCCAATTTATCTTCCTCTCCCCAGCCCAACACTTCAAGTCAGAGACCGCTGAGAGTGGGAAGGGCCTCCAGAGGTTTTTAGTCCCAGCCATACCTGCTCCCAAGCTCCTCTATATCATGCTCGACAAGTCATCACCCAACCTCTGGTGACAGGGAAATGGGCTCACTGCCTATCAAGGCAATTCATTCCATTTTGGAATAGCTCTAAATGTTACAGAGTTTGTGGCTGCTGGTGTTGTTTTTACATACAAAGATGAAATCTATTTCTCTGTAATTTTTTCAACCACGGTCCCGGTGTTGCCCACTTGGATCAAGCTAGACAAGTGTCCTCCATTTTCCATATGACAATCCTTTATCTATTTGAACACATCAATCAACCCAGGTCTTCTCTTCACACTAAACAGTCCTTAGTTCCTTCAAGTAGAATTCCTATGATGGCCTTTGTCTGTTGTGTACAGGCAGTTATACATCTAGATCCAAGAATGGTAACCTCCTAAGTTCCTTCTCATCATACACAGTGAGAAGCCACGAAACACAAACCCTCCTCAGTCACCCTGACCCCCCTACTACTCACTTCCGCCTTTGGTGCACAGGTAACTTCATGTCATTCTGCATCCTGAAACCCAAAACCACATACAGCCATCAAGAAAAGCAAGACCAAAAAAAAAAAGAAAAGAAAAGAAAAGAAAAGCAAGACCAGAGAAGGTGGGCAACAGCCAAGGACGAGATATGAATTTGCCTGTTTCTAATTGCAAGGCCCTGATTTCTAGCCTAAGCCTCTGGAAGTTAAGAATTTTCAGACAATTATCAGTTTCTCTTTAATACTGCCTTCTGACCTAAGATTCACTATTTATTTATTTATTTATTTCTGATTCATTATTTATTTTTAATTTATTATTTAATTTATTTATTATTAATTCATTTATTATGGAATCAAGTTCTCTCTGCATGCTAAACTTCAGTTAAAATAGGGCAATGAACGAAAACCAAGTTTGGAGACAGGCCAAAATTTCTCTTTTAGCTATTGTAGAAGGTTACTCAGAAAATGTTTAATTCTGTATTATCAGTGTCTATAATAAGTTATAGTTACATGAGAGAAGAATGAGGGTTTTTTTTGTGGGGTAGGAGAGAAAGGGCATTAGACAGTAGTCAAAGAAAGTATTCAAAGAGAACTAAAACTCACAAAGGCACCAAAAGAACATAAAATTGAGCTAAACGTTAGAACAATAGTTTGATTTAGTATGAAAATATTACGTAAAAAAAAAAAAAGATTGCTTTCTGGCTTAGGACTTTCTTGCTATCTGGGCTACTTAGTTCTTTTTCACGGAAGAGGGAATCAAATACCCATTTGCCCATTTTTTAGATTAAACCAGACAAACAGGCACCCGTCTAGTCACATCTTTTGTTTCTTTCCTTAACCCTGACACTGTCTTGTGTCCCACAGACCCACTATAAGAAAACTGAGATAACAATAGTCTTAAGGAAAAGGCTGAATGAAACTGACCAGTCATGACTGAGAGGCCCACCCTTACCTGACATTCACCATATCTGCGGGAGTCCCCACAAAACCGCCAGCAAAACCTGAAAGAGGAAAAGAGAACATGAAATCTCACAACCATGATCTGTCATCAGACTCTCACTGAACCATATTCTGGATCCTTCTGGTAAATCCGAGTTTCCTTCCTTCTCCCCCCACAAACATCCTTTGATAACCCTCTTACCTCCAAGGGAACCCAACAACACCTTCTTATAGAAAGGGATTGGCCCCTGGTTCCCTGCAGTCAGTCGGTCTCGGAATGACTCATAGATGGCAAATCGGGTAAGGGAATAGGTCATCTGTGGACAACAACATCATAATTTAGAACAAAAGCTCTTGATGAGATATCTTCACACATAGTATAGCTTCATGCTATGACACAAAGGCGGACAGGCTGCACCTGGACATACAGTCGGCAGCCTTCAAAGTAATGGGGCAGCCCACTAGGGCTAGCACTCCCAATCTCTGGGGACTCCCAGTTACTGCAATAGCCACACATCCTGCCTTCTTCCTCTGCTTCCCATTCACTCCCCATCTACTGATTCCAGGAAGCTCAGGCCAAGCCCTCCATTCAGGATGAAGTAGATGCTTCTCTGTCCCTCTTCAGTCTAGGTTGCCCTGTGTGTCCCTCTTCTTCCCTGCTCTCCCTACTGTTTTCTCTCAGTTGTTCTGGTGAAGACTTCTGCCTGGTAGAGCCTGGGTGAGCAGACTACTCTCCTCATTCCTGGCCTCAGGACACCTGTGCTCTTGCTAGGGGCCTCTAACTGAGTTAATTTGTTTTTTTAATTCAATTTTATTTTATTTTCAGTTCTGAATTCTCATCCTCTCCCCCACCCCCTCCTCCACCCTTTGAGAGGGAAAATACAAAAATCCATCACAAATATGTCTAATCTTACAAAATAAATTTCCACATTGGCCATATCCGAGAGAGAGAAAAAAATACGCTTTAATCTGTACTCTTGAGTCCATCAGTTTTCTCAATGGAGAAGGATTACATGTTTTATCTCAAGTCCTTTGGAACTGTGGTTGGTCATTGCGTTGATCAGAGTTCTCAAGTCTTTCAAAGTTGTTTGTCTTTACAATACTGTTGTTATTGTATAATCCAGTTGGATTGGGGGAAAAAATCAGCTACACTTCTTATCTCATTTTAATCCCCTAACTATTTGCTTCCCAAGGCTCAAATCTCAATACATAGCCCCAAGGCTCTGGCTGGTATAAGGAAGGCAAAAAACTTAAAATTTTAAAATTCTAAAGTATGCATTTCAATGTGACAAATATGGAAATATGTTTTACATGATTGCATATATATAACCTATATCAAATTGCTTACTGTTTTAGAGAAGGGAGAGAGAGGGAGGGAGGGAGAAAATTTGGAACTCAAAAAAATTTTTTAAATGAATGTTAAAAATTATCTTTACAAATAACTGGAAAAAACAAAATACTATTTTAAAAAAAATGTGCTACTGCTCACCAAGTCTTAAACTCTACTACTAGACCTTCATGAGAAAGTATGGGACTAGGAGAGCATCCTTCCAGTTGGAAGGATGGTTTTTAAATTTTTTAGCCAAGAAAAGAAGGTCAGAAAGGTTGTCTTGTATGGTAGGAGCTCTTTGCAAAGTTTGTATTCTTAAAGTTTATTTTTTTAAACATTTAGCTAAGTTTCTTTAGTTTGTTTAATGAATAAAAATGACTAAATGCAGGCCTTAAAAAAAAATCCTTGAGTCCACACAATCATGAAATGGACAGCAAACATCCCTGCTGTTCGAGAGCGAAGAAAGACTATGATACCAAACCTTACAGGGTAGAAAGTGGCCAGTTTAGGAAAGTTTACACCTTTTTTTGGGGGGGGGGGGGGGAGGCAATTGGGGTTAAGTGACTTGCCCAGTGTCATACAGATAGTAAGTGTCAAGTGTCTGGTCTGAGACAGGATTTGAACTCAGGTCCTCCTGACTTGAGGGCCAGTGCTCTATCCATTTTGCCACCTAGCTGCAAAGTTTACAGAAAAAGAGAAAGGAACCTTAATTAATGGCATTCAAACTCAACTATTCTCCAGCTCCTCTTCTGATCCTTGCCCATGCATACATACACCCATTTTTGCCAGTTGTACATAACTGACATGGATATACAAATTCATGTTCTGACCCTTTCACCTGACACTGTTTCACATAGTCATTTCATCAATCAACACAACCCACATGCTTGGCATTCTGCATAATAAGCTCAGATATTAAAACTGCATGTAGCAAAGGGGCAAGTACACCTTCATAGGGTGAATACAAAAGAGTGCTTCGGTCCTACGAACATTGGAGCAGAAAGACATCTGAGCCCAGAATAAGCAGAGCCTTTAAAAAACTCTAAGGAACCATTAAAATGGCTTTTAAAAAGCTAAGTTCAAATGAGTCCAACTATAATAGAAAACAATTTGGAATTATGCTAAGAAAGTGACTAAAACGTTGAGGACCATTGGCCCAGAAGTCCTACTGCTAGCCATATAACACCAATGAAATCACTAATTTTTTCAGAACACACCATATATACTAAAATTTTTGTAGCAACACTCTAGTGGCAGAGGCCTGGAAACAATAGATGGCCATCGATTGGGGTTGGTTAAACAAATTGTGAGACATGAATGTAATGGAAAACAATGATAACCATTGGAAAATAAATTATGTGTAAGAAATTAAATTCTTACATACTGAGAAAAAATAATGAACATAATAACTACAGAGGATTATAGGTAGATATATATGAATTGATGCAACACGAAGCAAGAAGTATCAGGAAATCAATGTGTTGAAAGAACAAGAAAACAATCAAAATTGAATGCAGTGTAATTATAATGATCAAGTCTGGCATCAAAATCATATAAGAATACGCTTCCTTCACTTCTCTTGGGAGCTGGGTAGGTGGGGTGGGATGTGAAACACTGGATAATTAATTTTGAGATTTCATTGATACAATGGTTAACTTTGCTGAACTGGTTTGTTTATTTTGTCCCCAAATCTTTTAAAAATGTATTTCAAGGGATAGTTCTCCGGAAGATGAAACAGTAAGGATATAGGGAGGGACATAAAAACAAAAAGATATAAGATTTTTTTTTAAGCAATGTTCAGGCCATGAAGGAAGGAATATGTCCATAACTTGGAGAAGCTCACACATTAATAGTTGACAGAACCTATTAAACTTAAAATCTGCTTCCATCTTCTCCATTAAAGAGAAATGACCTTCAGCTTAAATAGGATAACCAAATAAATTTAAAAAGAAATGAAGAGCTGGCACACAGTGAGTACTTAATAGATGCTGAGCAGCACTGCTAAAAGGAGTTTTCTTGACTAACATGAACTGACACAAAGTGAAATGAGCAGAACCAGGAGAACACTGTACATCCCAACAGCAAAGATGTAGGATGATCAATTGTGAAAGATAGAAAGATGCACTGAGTGACTTCCTTCCTCCTAGACACATAGCTAATGTGTCGGAAGCAAGACCTGAAGCCAGTTTTCTAAGTTGAAAGTCAGTCTTCTGGGGCAGCTAGGTGGTGCAGTGAATAGAGCTCTGGTCTTGGAGTCAAGAGGACCTGAGTTCAAATCCAGCCTCAGACAACTTAACACTTACTAGCTGTGTGACCCTGAGCAAGTCATTTAACCCTGATAGCCTCACCCAAAAAAAAAAAAAAAAAGAAAGTCAGTCTATCAAGTATAATGCCCTTATTTTTTTATAAGAGGAAATTCCCTTTCCTTGCCAAACTTTTTTTTGGGGGAGAGGGGGAGGGTTAGAAAGGAGGACCAAATTCCAGATTTCTTTGGCATAGGGAAATTCCCTTTATCAATGCAGATCAACACTGGCCTGGCATCTTTTATTTTTAGGCTAGTCTGGGCCACTGAGAGGTTAAGTGAATTGCCTAGTAGTCAGAGCCAATACTTAGCAGAGGTGGGATGACCTTGAAGGCCTGTGTTCAAGGATAGCTCTCTATCTCCTCTCCCAGCATCTCTCACCCGGTATCATATAAAAGCAGAGCTAGGATTCTGACTCTAAATATAGTACTTTTTCCATTATGTCACATCATCACCAGTGTGTATGTGTGTATATGTGTGTGTGTGTGTGAGTAAAAAATCAACAGCACTAGGACCTGGTAAGAAAAACACAGCTAGACAACAAACCTGTGTGAAAAAGACTTCAGGGTTTTGGTTAACAAGCGCCAAGTGTCAACAGTGTGGTTCATCAAAAAAGTTAAGGAACCATGCCCAGAAATGGGCAGGCCAGAGTGTTCTAGTCTCCTCTCCTGACTGGATCCTAATTAGAACACTGGATTCCATTCAATTTGCTACACTTTAGGAAGGATTTTGACAAGCTAGAGTATGTCCATAGGAGAGTGGCCAGGACGGTGAGGGGACTGGAAACAATACTAGATGGAAAAAAAAATGGAGATATTTAAGTTGAAGTAGAAAAGAACTGGGGCGTCCCAATCGCTACATTCAAGCATCTAAAGGCCGATACCATGAAAAGCTACAAAGACTTGACTCAGATGGCCCGAGAGAAGTATAAGCCACAGGTGAAGATCTCAGAAGCAGAGTTTGGCCTCCTTAACCTCAGTGCCTCTGAGACCATCTCCAATTTGTCTTGCATGGGTCTTCTTGTTTGTTTGTATGTGGTCTTGCCCGTGGTTGTTTGCACTTTTGATCGACTGAGAGAAGACATTGTTTTTGTTAGTTTGGCCTTTCCTTGCACGCCCAGAGCTAGCAAACTAGGACCTTAACAAATGTTTGCTGACACAACCTCACATACCAGGAAAAAAATGTGCTAACAATGAGAATCATCGAAAACCGCAGGAGAGAGCAGTTCTCAGTAACTGCAGCTATCCAAAGAGGCGGCTCAGAGGGGATTTTTTGTCAGGCATGCAGGGGTTGGAATAGATCTTTCCAAAGTCACTTTCAGCTCTGCAACTCTAGGAATTATCCATGTCCAAAATAGGGAACAACTTTTCGAAGGGAGAGGCTGGGTTGACTCCTGGTTAGGAACGCTGTGGAAAGGATTCCAAGAGTCCAGAGTATCAGAAATCCCTATCAACTTGAGGCGTCTGTGATTTCCTAAGACTGGCCAATCCAAATCAAGTATGAAAGAGGTAAGGTGGTTGTTATGCCTTCAGATCAAGAAAATTCCACAGCTAAAAAGTCACCTCCTACCATGTTGGAGGCCAGTGGATAGAGCACTAGACTGGAGTCAGGAAGACTCAAGCTCAAATCTGGCCTCAGACACTTGCTAGCTGTGTGACCTTGGGCAAGTCACTAAACCATTCTCACTATCAGTTTTTCCCAATCTGTAAAATGGAGATAATAAGAATTCTTCATAGGACTGTTGAGAGGTTCAAATGAGATAACATTTATAAAGTGCTTTACCAATGTTAAAAGCTTCTACAAATATCATTAGCATTGTTACTATCATTCCCATCTTTCTTATTACCACCACCGACCTGCCGGCAGATAGAGGCGCTGATGCCATTGTAAAGGGCCAGGAAGCCATCGGTCCGCACCACCTTTAATGCCATGCCTGTCATCTTCATCTCTATCTTCTGCTGTGTCTGTAGATGGACCTGCACAAGTCAAATCAGGAAGCATTTATTAAGCGCCTATTATATACTAGGCAATTTAAGTTGCATAGGCAAACCCCGCCCCAAAAACAACAACAACAACAACAACAACAACAACAACAAAGAATTCTTGTTTTCAAGGAGTTCACAGACTAATGGGGGAAACAACATGCAAACAATTATGCACAAACACGAGAGATACAGGGTAAATTAGAGGTAATCTCAGAGGGAAGACAAAGCAGCTAGGGATGCCCCCAACATTTTCGGGGACTGGGAAAGGCTTCCAGCAGAAGGTGGGACATTAGCTGAGATCTGAAGGAAGCCAGAAGGCAGAGATGAGGAATGGGGGCAAATGCAGAGTGGGGAGACGGAGGGTCATGTACAAGGAAGAGCATGGAGGCCAATGCCATAGGATCTCACATACTGGGGGAGGGGTGTTAAGAAACCCGCGGCATCATTTCCTTCCACAGCCTGTCCTGAGCTTTCTATCACTACAGTACACCTAAAGCCTGCCCCCTCCACCCCAAGGATCCCTTGAATCTCTTTGAGCCGCCCCACTGCCTCCAGACAGCCTTTGCTGTTTATCCCCACAGACCCAGCTAGTGATTTCCAGGCAGGTGAGTTGTAATAGCCAGGTCTGGAGATTCATCCAAGGTCCCTGCAACCAGGTAGGAAGCCATAAGAGAGCACATAAAAGTGGGGAGTCCATAAGGGAATGTGAGCAGATTCGTTTCCATGAACTTGTTCTGGGACTCAAGGGAAGAAGCTGTCAGGTAAGGGCGTGACGAGGATGCTCCTGTCTGCATTACCTGCGCACTCGAGCACACACACATACACACCACACAACATACACACACAAGCTGTGCCCCCAAGGTCTCGCCCACCAATCCCTGAGGGATGAGGCTACATTCAGATCTACACCAGCTTACTGTCGAGCACACAGTAATACTTAATAAATGCTTGCTGACTCCAAGGACATAGCCTTGCCGTATAACAATTTGGAGGACTGGTTCTAGAACACACACAGTTTGAGCAATCCTTCCAAAGGCATGCCACAAAACTAACACTGATGTTTCCCTCTTTGGAGGGTTTGCTGCCAAAGATACTGCATACAGCACACAGTAGGAACTTAATAAGTGTTTATTGATTGAATGAATAAATCTACTTGCTTGGTGCTATAATACCTTTTCAAGAGTCCAGTGGAAGTCAGGAGGCCCAGACCTAACTACCTGTGAATCTCTCAGATATATCAGGTCTGCTATTGGAAATCACACGTCACCAGAAAACTGTTGGAAATTACGTGCTACCAGAAACAAATGACCCTAGATGGCTCTGACAAGGAACAAAAATCAGCAACATATCCTTCAGTTGTAAAAAGTGATAAATAGTTCAAGGTCGAAGTCAGTTAACACTTATTGCATATAAAATGTCTACTTATTCAGGTATTATATAGAGATAGAAAAAGTCACAACAAAATTCATCTAGGGGAATAAAATGTCAATAATCTCCAGGGAAATAATGAAAAAAAGTGGAAAGGAAGGGGACTTACTAATAACAGAACTCAAACTATGCCACAAAGCAATAATGACTAAAGCAATTTTGTACCAGATAAGAAACAGAAAGGTTCATCAGTGGGACAGATTAGGCACACAATATACAGAAACAAATGATCACAGTAACCTAGTATTTGATAAACCCAAAGAAACCAGCTGTCAGAGTAACAATTCATTCACTCAACAAAAACTGTTGGGGAAAAAAACTGGAAGGCAATCTGGCAGAAACTAGGGTTAGACCAATACCTTACACCATATACCCAAATGGATATATGACCTAGGACATTTTGTTGTTGTTCAGTTGCTTTAGTCATATCCAACTCTTTGTGACCCCATTTGGGGTTTTCTTGGCAAAGATACTAGAGTGATTTGCCATTTCCTTCTCCAGATCATTTTACAAATGAGGAAACTGAGGCAAACAGGATTAAGTGACTTGTCCAGGTTACACAGCTAGTAAGTGTCTGAGGCCAGATTTAAACTCAGGAAGGCGAGTCTGACTCCAGGCCTGGCATTCTATATACCAGGTGCTGCATTTAAGACATAAAGAGTGACATCATAAACAAATTAGAGGACCAAGGAGGAAATTAGCTGTCAGATGTATAAACAGAAGATTTCAAGAACAAACAAGAGACAGAGTTACAGGAGGTAAAATGGACAATTGTGATTACATAAAATTAAAAAGCTATTGCAGAAATAAAACCAATGCACCTAAAATTTAGAAGAGAAGCTGGCAAATGGGGGGAAAAATTACAGTAAGTTTCTCTGATTAAGGTCTCATTTCTATATGTCTATATAGCAGCTCCCTATATAGAGGGGATCTTCAAATTTGTAGGGATAAGAGTTATTCCCAACTGATAAACAGCCAAAGGATATGAACAGACATTTTTCAGAGGAAGAACTCATAGCTATCAATAGCCATAAGAAAAAAATGTTCCAAATCACTAGTAGAGAAATGTAAATTAAAACAACTCTGAGGTTGCTCCTTATCTGTGATACTGGAAAAACTAAAAAAAAAAGGGAAAATGACAAATGTGGGAAGGACTGTGAACAAACAGGTACATTAATTAACATACTGTTTTGTAGAGTTGTGAACTGGCATAGCCATTCTGGAAAGCAATTTGGAACTATGCATAAAAAGCTAGTAAACCGTGCGTGCTAGGTTTATAACCCCAAAGAGATCAAAGAAAGAGGACAAGGATGTATGTACAAAAATATTTATAGCAACTTTTTGAGGTGGCAAAGAATTGGAAACTGAGAGGGTATCTGTCAACTGGGGAATGGCTGAACAAGTATGTGAATGTGATGGAACACCATATGCTGTAAGAAATGATGAAAGGGTGGTTTTAGAGCAACCTGGGAAGGCTTGTATAAACTGATAGAGAGTGAAACGAGCAGAACCAGAGAACAATTCATACAATAATATTATAAAGAAAAACAACTTTGAAGGATTTAAGAACTCTGATCAATGCAATAACCAAGCCATGACTCCAGAAGACTCATGATGAAACATGCTGCCCATTTCCTGACAGAGGGGTGATGGACTCAAGAGTGCTGAGTGAGATATATTTTCTTTGGACGTGGCCAATGCAGGAATTTGTTTTGTTTGACTACATTTGTAACAGGGCTTTTTTGTTTTTCTTTCTTTCTCAATGGGAAAGGGGGAGGGGGAAGGGGGAGGGGAGAGGGAGAGAAAGTGGATTTTTATTGATTGAAAAAAATACATTTTTTTGGAGAAAATTTTGAGAAAATAAAAAAGAAATAAGCAGAACCTGAGGTACATGGGTCTTTACCCAAACCATTTCTCTGGGGAAGATGGGAAGATCACAAGGAAGGCTGCTACTCTACGCCAGGCCAGTCAAGAGTATAATGTCACCTTTGGCCAAGCTTGACCAAGTATAACCATAACACCCTCCCCCGGCCAGGAAACTCAGGTCACAAAACAAGGCCTGACACTTCATCCATTTTATCCTTTCTTCCTTCGAAGGGCTGTGGGGTTTTAAAAAATTATTTTCATTCTAAACTTAAACTACAAATAAAATAGGCATTCATATACAGAGTACACCAGAAAAAGAAGATTGCTTAAGAAACTGCAGAGGTCCATTTTGCACAGCTTGCTTTTCTTCTAAAGTCTCAGAATAAATTCAGCCTCATCGGGCTGTGGGTTTTGCTGAAGTTTTCATTCCCCATGCTGGTAGTCTTTTTTTTTTTCTTAACCAACTGGACAAATAAACACGTTTTAGTTCCGAATGGGCTGTAGAAGTGAATACACCCAAACAGAGGCGCACAAAGGGCTTTTAATCACCTTAGACCACTCCCCACCTCAGTCATTTTGTGGGGCTGCTGCGCTTCCAGTTTCCATGCTGCTCCTTCAGAGACCACGTCAGGAAGGAACTCAGTCACTCAGCCCCAGCTCCCTCCCTTCCCAATAAAGCTTTAGCATTCGGCCATTCCAAACAGTAACAATAACTAGCCAGTATATAGCCCTTGAAGATCTGCAAAACACTTTACATATTGTCTCATTTTATTCTCACCACACTCCCAGGAGCAGGTGCTCTTATTTTCCTCCCCTTTTAAGGATGAGAAAACTGAGGCAGACAAAGGTTAAGTGACTTGCTTAAGTCATGCAAAGTAAGTGTCTGGGGTTGCATTTGGACTCGGGTCTTCTCTTCCTGAGGAGGCAGCTAGGTGCTTTAGTGGATATAGTGCTGGGCCTGGAGTTAGGAAGACCCCAGTCTAAATCCAGTCTTGGATACTAGTTGTGTGATTCTAGGCAAGTCACTTAACCTCTGTCAGCCCCAGTTTCCTCATCTGTAAAATGGGGATAATAATAGCACAGCACCTATCTCCCAGGGTTGTTGTAAGGATTAAATGAGATAAAATTTGTAGAGTACTTTGCAAACTTTAAGGTGCTCTATAAATACTTGCAATTATTATTACCCACTGAGACACCAGTTACCTACCCCTGCTTACCTGCACCCCCAATATCTAGCATACTGCTTAATACTTTTTCATACATTCACGGGCAACGCTACCCCTACTAGGAACAGTTTTGGAGTAGCCTGAAGGATAAAGTTACAAGCTTACAACTGCCTGAACATACTCTAACAACTACCTTAAAAATGGTCAGGGATAAACACACACACACACACACGTTTCAAACACAAGTAAAAAGGACAATTTTGTTCCTACTTAATGCACACTTTTCTTTTCTCTAAGCACTATAATATTTCACTTTTTAATAGCCCAAGGCAAAGTAACATTTTGAAAATTCATCTTTTATAAAATTGAAAGCTCTGTATAGGGCTTACAACATTCTTGAAATTTCTATAACATTTTATATTCTGAGCAACACCTTTGTCCACAGGTTGAATTAATAATGTAACAAAAGCAGGCATGACGATGGTAAAAATATTATACTCCACTTGGGTAATTGCTACAATCAGATAACTT